TAATAGAAGAAGTAAAGGAGTTCTGAATCTTCTCTGAATGAGGTTTTGATTCTTCTCTCCTGACTCTCTACAAATCTCTCCCTCTCCAAAATAAAGCTTCAGTCTTAACAAAACCCTAAAAACTCAATATATATGTCTTAACCACGAACTGGGCTTAATTGCAAATAAGGGAAACTTCTGGGCCGAATCTGCAAATCTTCTGAACTTCAATTAAGCGAGAAATTCAATTGCCGTCAGATATTGGTGTCGATCGACACCGGAAGTTGTGACGCTCGACACTCACACCAAATATACTTTCACGGTACATTCCTTCGACACATCTTCTCCAAATGCTCCAAAAAGCTCCAATGCATGCCAAATAGTTCCTAATCCTGAAATGACTCAAAAAGACTCGAAAACACTAGAAAAGCTCTATAAATAAGACTTATATCATGACCAAAAACCTGTAAAAACCATGATATATCAGTCGATATTCTTAGTATCCACACGTACATACACTCCAATTAGTTTTTAATCATATTACATAGTCTTAGTCTACCTGTAGGTAACTAATTATAGCAGAAATAGATTAAATGTGCTAATCATAATAGGGTAAGGTCTATCTGCACTTTAAAATTTTGTTTTGCGCTAATAATGAACAAAACAAATTTGTATATAATGCAATTTTCGATAAACCATAATTCCAAGAAACCTTTATTATACATAATATTAATCTAATTATAACTTTTATTAATAACAATTATTCAGATCTGGAAACTTTTTTCAGGTTTCAGATCTAGAAAATTTCTTTAGTTCCCGATCTAGAAAACTCTTTATAGTTCCGGATCTCTTATTTTATGTTATTAAATCTATAGATCTATTATACATAATGGATTAAACAGATGTTTAGATATGGCTCTAATATGAATCTTACATTCACTTACATAAACCCCATGATCTATAAACATCTGAATTCATCACATAATAAAGACATAAGAAGGTTTATCAACGTACCTTCTGTCATCGCAGCGGATAAGTCTTCCTGATATGTTTTCTTGATGAAGACGAAAGCTTGATCTTTAATTTGGAAGGCTTGGTTTCCCTCCCCTTGCCTACAAACATTTTCTTTAAGTGTTGCAGTTGGTCCGAACAGCCTTTATGATGGACTACAGGTTTGTATTTATAAGTGGAGAGAGGACCAAGCTCCGCTTTTAGGGTTTCTTCCGGATTAATCTTGATCGTCCATCAAAGAAGACACGGAAGCATGCATGTGGGACAAATGGAAACGACGGAGATCGACACATGTCCGTAATCGTGACATTTGTCATGCATACACGTGTCTACACGACATGTGTCGTGCCGTTATGACACGTGTCATTTTTCGTGACACTTGTCGTCGCATGTGAGACATGTGTCGTAACTTCATGACACGTGTCACTTTCCGTGATATGTGTCGTCGTTATGCGACATTTTTCGCGACTCTCCGACATTTGTCGCCATTCCGAAATTCTTTGTGGTTGCGCGACATTTGTCTCCATTCCTTTACGTGACATTTGTTGTGCATTCGTTTACGTTTTCGTTACTTGTTCCCGAGCGGAAAACTCTTTTAGGTTACCAACTATATATATAGTGGAATAACAATTCTGATAGAAAACTGACGACTATACGATTACATAATAAAAAAAATATATAATAGTTCTTACAGGATACACCTTAAAATAAGAAAAGATAGTGCATTTTCAACATAGTACCGAATGAACTATTCCAAATGGGTCTTAAAGAACTCTATTAACATTCACATGTTATAAAGGATAAACAAAAAGATAAAAACTTTATTCTTTATTTAATGATAAAAACTTTCCAAAGAGAGAAAAACCAATTGTCGTACGAAACGAAAAAAAGAAATAAAGGAAGAAACTTATCTTCTGGTCTTAGATACACAATCGTACTTTGTACGCACACACACATTTATAGAAAGATACAGACAAAGATTGAGATGAGTCTTGATACAATACGCAATGTGAAAGAGAAAACAAACTGAAAGTGAGAAAAAGAAACTCCACTGTTATTGGAAGATTAAAAAAGAACCAAACACACTCTTAGATATTTTAGGACCACTGTGCTAATCGATACAGTGACTTAGGCTTCCTCAAAAATATGAAAATAATTGTCATATGTTTTGTGTTCAGTCTCAGTAAGAGACTTGTTTGTAGTGACAAGAGAGAACTGAGAAGCTTTAACTGTAATATATTTGTTTTTCTTCCAATTTTGTTGGATGAATCCTTTTTGAAAAGGTTTCCTCTCTAAGGGAGACAACAATAATGTTGTGAATATTGATGAATCTCAAGAGAACATAATTGAAAAAATATTATTTGAAACGAATATTCTTTTAGTTCTCCTTATTTTATAATCGGTCGTGTTGTATAGTGCTCGGCACAAAAGGGGGATGTCAAGGATATCAATTCAAGGTCGGGCTAAAAGGTTCGTTTTATAAATCAGAGATCGGCAATTACAATAAGGAAAGATTACAAATCTGTTCGACAATTTAAGTTACTAAAGTCGAGCTCTGCGTAGTACTTCTGTCCTCTGTGTGTGTACGTGATGTCTTGTCACATCAACTCTCTTTCCTTTTATAGGAGAATGATGTGACAGGACACTGACTCTGGCGCGAGGCTTTAATGGGCCGATCGTCCTGGGCTGGTCGTCGTGGGCCGATCGTTCAAGGCCCGAATGATCGTTTCTTGTCGTCTTACGCGGATTCGCGCCACGCACCCGCTCTCCTCCGGGCCGAACAGGTGAATAGTAAAAGGGGGCTCACGAATTGCGGCCCATATCCAACAGGTCGAATAGTCGTCAAGCAATTTATAATTGCTTGCAGAATTTTTTTTTTTTTTTTTGCTAAAAATTGCTTGCAGAATTCAGTTTCTTGATGAATCCCCACCTAAACCGATTAATCCCGTCTAGCCATTTTGGTCAACCTTTTTATGTTTACAGAATTTAATCAAAGTTTGGTTCAATTACAAAAAAAAAACTACAGTAACAATGTATTTATTTTTAGTTTTCTATGTTTATATAGTCTTGTTGAACCAAATCAAACTAAAATACAAAACGAGACCAAACACCTAATGAAATCAAGAACAAATCAACCCGGTTATCAATTTTTATATTTGAATTATACATTCATAACATTGAAACTTCTTTAAAAACACTAAAGTGATTTTAAATATCAATTCTCAATTAAATTCCGTATAATATCCAATTTTTCCCTAGACTCTAGGCCACTTCGAACATCCAACCAACGTCTAACGATATTTTGAAAAGATATTAATATTTTATTCTTAGGGTTTTATTTATTAATAGCGTCATTAACGTTTTACGAACTTTAGAACGGTCCTTTAAAAGAAAGGTGCACGGTTTTGAGTAACTTTGAATATGACATATTAAGTTATTTCTGTATTTTTGGCCCTTGATCTACTTGGTCTAAGTGTTTAACTATACAATTTGGCAATACCAAAGATTAGTTTCACTCTAGCTAGAGAAAACATGAACGTAAGAGATATAGATATACGTTTAATTTCATGAATGGCTACAAAGAAAAAAAAAGTTAAAGGTGTCTAAATGTTTCGATATTGTATCTTTTTAGTCTTCCACTTCAATTACGTTCTTCGTACTCGATCCCACGAAGATAAAAAGGTGAGATATTAATTGATTAAATTTTTAAAAACAATTTTAATGGACACATTTAATTAATTTATACGATTGGTTTGGTTTCTTGGATATTAAGTTTTTGGTAAAGAATCTCACGACACAAAAAAAAAAAAAAGTTCCTTTCTTCTGTTGACCATATTTTGAAAGAAGATCTCGTACGTAAGATTGTTTATTTGTCTATCTGTCTATGTCAAAGATTTATCAATGAACATGGAGAGGCCATGGCCATGATAATTGGGTTTTTGTAATATCTTGAAACCCATCTTATGGTCGTCTTTGTAGATTTAGATATGAACACATACGAAGTAAATGAAGACACAATGGTACTTCGAAATTTAGACATGAACACATACGAAGTAAATGAAGACACAATTGTACACACATTTTTTTTTTTTTTTTAATAAACCCTATCAGCTGATCCGGTCAGGTCCGGTAGAAACGCACCGAAGTGTTTCAGAGTGTACTTCTCCCCAAAGGGCCACCACACTGTCTATCCCGAGCTTGGAATGCTTTCCGACTAATGCCAGGGGGTAGTCAGGCCGCCTGCATTTCTGACTACTAGGTAAACCAATTGGGCCAAGGCACAACTGACAGACTTCCCACAGAACAATGATTTTTGTTTCCAGGGTGGATCGAACCTAGGTTAGTTCCTTCCAACCTTTCTCCAATTCTCCATTACCACTGAACCACTGCTGCGCGGGCCAATGGTACAAACATGTACCGGCGTATAGGTTAGTGGTTTAAAGTTAGTTTGTAATATTTTTTTTTCCTAAAAGTATTTTTTTTTTCTTTTTCATAAATCAACAAGTTGTAGTTGAACACAAAAAATATTCAAGTACTTAATGAAAGAATCTTTTCATAAAGTAAAAAAAAATACAAAACAATAGCTAGATACTGTTCTTGGTGGGTCTAGAGACTAACAGTTACAGATAAGGTTGTTCTTGGTCTTTGCCTAATATAATCAAACTTAGAAAGTTTCACATACGAAATCATCATGAATCCACAAACCAAAAGATATATGATAACATTTTCAATGATGACACCATACATAAATACATGTTAACATATAAGTGTATGTATATGCTGGTTTTGTAGTTGGAAATTGTTGTAATAAGAAACAAAACCCACACCACCTTACTCTGTCCCCATCTCAAACATGACCCATGATATGACCAACACCACTTATATTTTGCTCTTCATTAACACTAATCTTCTTTAGCTTATAAATTTACTGCATTCTAAAAACGTCGTCGTTAAGCTCCGTATAATCCATACAAAGATACATACTCAAACAATCCATAAATGAAAATGCTCTATTCAATGGGGATTATATCATCCCTGAAGCAAGAGAAAGGGCTTTGGATTTGCATGTTACTGATCACTTCCTTAAGCTCAGATGTTTCTTCTTTAAGTTGAGCATTCTCTTGAAGAACCTTGTCATGAGACTCAGAGAGATTGTTAAGTTTATCAAGCAACTGATGATTCTCGATTCTTAACCACATCACTTGTGACCAAAGCTCGTCAAGGTGTCTCTGCTTCCTCATACGCGATCTCCTTGCTGATTCTCTGTTTGATATCATCCTTCTTTGCTTACGTTCGTTGATTATGTTGTTATCCGTCTGGTGCTCTTCTGCTTCATCTGATGTTGAGTTGTTACTGCTTTGGCTCATGGATTGTGGATTGTTTGTATAGCTTTGGAAACCATAGAGAGGGTTCGGGTTTGGACCGTTGGACGGAAATGGCGTAGATAGCGGGAAACTGGAAGGATAAGGAGACGGTACCGAGGAGTTTATGTAGTTATGAAGGCTAAAAATGTCTGTTCGCGGCTGCATTTTGGAGTTGACTTGGGTTGAAAGTTAGGGTTTCGAAGAATATATGTAGGTCAAGAGAAATACATAAGGAAAATAAAATAAAAAGCTTTATAAGTTCTGATGGAGTTTTTGGTGAGTGAAGAGGGAAGATGATTTTATAGAGTCAGTGAGAGAGCAGAGGTTGGGGAATGGACCCCATTTCCTGCAATTGGGTAAAGCAATAATAAAGTTTCTAACATGAAAATTTAGTAAATATGCACTTAGATCATGTAACATTAATCAATCTTATATCCATAATACTTGACCGAGGGACGATTCGCAAGAAGATATATCCCAAAGTTTCGAGATCCTCTCTAAATGTGGTTTCAAGGCACTATCTCGTTGTACGGGGCTTGTTGTTGTTAATATACAATAACACTTGTTTCTAAGTAATGTAATAACGACGTCAAAAAAGAAAAGTAATGTAATCACAGAAATTTTAGGAAACAAATGTCCTATATCCATAATTGTTTTGATTTAGGTAAAACATAGCATACACTAATAACCATTTAAGCCAATTGATTAATATATATCATTACAAAAAACATAGATATTTCAACAACAATCCAAAATTTCAACAACAATCCAAAAAACTTCCGACGAAAAAAAAAAATTTGTCGAAAATTCGTCAGAAATCTGAAACTTTTTCAAAACACTATATATAAGTTTTGCAGTTGTGGCCAATTGTAGTATATGTGAATGCTGAATAATTTTATGGTTTCTAAAATTGTACTCCTCGATATATATATTACACGACAGCTGATTAAAAATTTCACGACCTTGTATGATATATGTGCGTGCTCGTTACCCACATTGTCTTAAAAGAAAGGTATCCTAGGCATCTGAGCCGCAATCTTTGGCCTATCATCGACATGTTTTGTATGGATGATATAGTAAACATCAATCTTCTCCAATAAAATTTACAAGATAGATAGATGGAGGGAGTAGTGGATAATCAAATTTATTTAATTGAATTAATTTTTTTCTTATTACATCAGCGAGAAGAGAAGATATTGCATTATATTTTGTATTTGACATTTTGTCTTAAACGTATAATGAAAAAAAGGATATCAGAGCACCCAGTGGTGCTGATGTGAGAAGTCATATGTCTTTCAAATCCAATTGTCTTTATTTGTGTCAATAAAGAAACATGTCTTTTCTACGCATTTGTGAAAATTTAAAACCCAATTATCATTTTATTTTAGTTAATAAAGATATTAAAACCAGTTTTTTTTTTTTTAATAAAAGACAAAGTAAACGCTTAATTATTTACATAAATTTTAAATGCATTTTGAGATTAAAAGACAAAGTAAACTTTGTTTTATGATAAAAAAAAAACAATCCTCACGATTGGGTTTTTTCTTTTTAGGATCCTCACGATTTTATATTCAAGTAAGATAAGATTTTTCACTAAGAGTATTTAATTTTATTCATTTAACTGGATATAAGGGTAATCAGACCAAATAATAACATAGTTACAATACTAAAAACTCAAATTAGATTAAAGACAACGACCTCAAACCCTTGAGGCCTTGACTGGAGTTAATGGTTTTCGCCACATCTCACCATTACCCGAAACATTTTTCCCATAACAGATCAGAGAGACCTCTAGACCTTATCCCTCGCTTCTTCTACCTAGCTAGTAAGACGAGAGAACCCTTATCCACCACAAATAAGATTATTATTGACCCCTTTGGTAGGGTTTAAGTAGATCTACTGTGTAAGTTAGATTTTGGGTCGGGTTGGTTCGTTAAGGCAACCTATCCTAGGTCATGTGCCATCGATGTCGTATGTGTTACATGAAAATAAATCAGTTCTCTAATTTCTGATACTTAGCGTATAGAGTAAGAGGTTTCCAAAAAAAAATAACAAAGAGTCAATGATACTTCTGTGTTCTTAAGAGCCAATGATATATTGTAATTTGGCAAGTAGAATTAGTAAGACAAAGCACCAGGTGACTCAGCCGGGACATGACCCATGGCTAGAGGGACTCCTTCCGTGATAACGACCCCATTTTTGTAGTACGTTTGATCTTGTTATTATTATGTTACGTAGTGGTTATATTGATAACGTAAGATGTTATTTAAAATATTTTACTTTTTTTTTTTGAAAACAAATAGGTTCCGGGCCAAAGGCTATACATCCCCTCAAACCCGAAACCAAAGCATGTTATATGGTTTCGTCACAAGTACTACTCGAACCGGCTTCTGCCAGAGATTTTTACCAATTGAGATATTAGCACTTGGTTATTTAAAATATTTTACAAAAATATATATATTTAAAATTCAATTATACCCATATGTCGTCGATCATATAGAAGAATCGCCTAGATCTGATTTCAGTTAATAACTTCAATTCAAACACACATTTTTGTAAATAAAAATATTTTGGAAAATGTAATAAATTGACATTTTTTCCATTAAGTTATAGTAGGGAATAACGATTTTGAATATATGTTTTTTTTTTTAACTCTTGATTTATTATTTATGGCAGATTATGAGAATTGTTACAACGACGATACTACTACCGACAATTCTGTCCGACCCTTTTAGATTCACCACAGATTACAACCCTTTCCTGACGACACTTTCTTCTCCATGCGTAGAATCACGGCGAACGGCTCTAATTGTGCATTGTTATAGATCTCTTGTAAGCTTAGCTCCTTAATCTGCAAATTAAATAAATCGCATTACCCGGGCGTCGAACCCCAGACCTCTTGGTGTAGAAGCTTTAAACAACCTCTTTGTCAACCACTAGACTAAGTGAGCTTCCACTTGAATATATGTTTCTGAGGTTACTTTTACAAATAATAAATATAGAGAAATTTCCTCCAATACCACCATTTAAGTTTTATTTTTCCGAAAATACCATAATTTGTTTTTTAGTTACCAAAAAGATTTATTTCTCCAAAAATAACATAAACGTCAAAAATTAATTTTTGAAGGCGTAAATTTCTTTTTTATGTTTGTGTTGAATATTTATATTCAAGGTATAGTTTTTGGGGGTACGGATTAGTGATTAGGATTTAAAAATAAATTTTGAATATTAAAAGAATTAGTTTAGTTTTTTGGTATTTTTGCAAAAATGTATTTTTGTGGTATTTTTGGAAAATAAAACTTATAATGGTGTTTGTGGAAAATACTCATTTTAGTGTTATTTATGAAAGTTTCCCATAAATATATAACAAGTACAAAAAAGTACATTTACCTAAGTTAACCTACTTCAAGAAATAGTTACTTGCGGCTTAAACTTGTTTATAATACAACTTTTCCTTTCAGTCAATAAGTATTTTACAAAAAGATCTTCAATAAATTAGAATTTTACTCGGTTTTTTATTTATTATTTATAATTCTAATTTTAATTTTATTAATAAATTTTATTCTATCCAAAAGATTTGCTTCTGGTAAAAAACTACTAAAAATATTTTTAAAAATCTAAACAAAATTTTGGTTAAAATAGTGTAGGTTACTTTAACCTATTGGAAATATTAAGATAATACTCCAAAGAGAGAAATAAAAAACAAAATTCTTAGATATATATGTGGTCTTTAAGTATTTTATAGTCTTATCTGCTTATTCATTTTTCTACACATGCATGTTATAAAAAGATAGATTAAGACTTGACAGTAATACATTGTTGTGGCTGTAAAACAAGTTTGTACTTAATCATTTCATTCTTATTGGAATTACGTGTTGCTTTCTACCATGGTTGATAAAGCTAATTACTTATGTACATGAAAACTTTGTAATCGCATTATACGCACCGTATAATAAGATAATAATTAAGAACAGTTCAAAATTTTCAGTATCTTGACTTCAGAATGTTTACGTTGAGATTTCTCTTTCTATATATAAATGTTTTGAGTGGACTAAATGGTCAAAGATATCATGAGACAAGGCAAGACTCTTATTTCATCAAAACTATTATTAGAATCAAATTTATGGAGATGATATGACTAATAAGAGTGTTTACACATAAATGCACAAGTGCGTAGGGAACACATGAACAGTTGAACACCTAGTATTGGGGATTTTTGTCTTGATGTACTTTTCTTAAATCTATACAAATGCATGTGCATAAAACAAGCTCTTACCCTACTTCATTTCTCCTTTTGAATTTAAATTTAGGTACAATCTATCTTAACATTTTTGAAGTACATTTTGTACTAAAATCTATTTTGGGTTATAACCTTTTATTTGGTAATATTTGCATAATCAGACCCTTGTCATCTCAATAAATAACAAAACTTAAAAGTAAAATTTGAAATTAAATCACAAGCAAATAGCAAAATTGGAAACAAATATTTATTACATCAAAAAAATTTCTTAGAATATATCTAATAAATTCAATCTCTCTTCAATATATTTATATAATCTTATTTGTTTTAAATTTATATTATTACATAAAACATATTTATAATAAAAAATACAATTTTTTTCCGCACATTTGCAATTAAAGTTTTTGAAAACGGACGTATATAACTCAATTGATAAAGGAAAAATATATGTAGAAGTAGAAAATTTTAGATAATAGTTTAAAACCATTACAAATAGTATTAATATGCTTCCAACTACAAATGAGCGTGAAGTTTGATTTTTCAGGCATCCAAATTTAAAAAAAATATTCAGTTTCATCTGGTTCTTTATTTAAGAAAAAAAACTTTTAAAAAATTTCGAAATATTATAATTTTTTTAAGTTTAAAATGTTATTAAAATTAAAAATTTCAAAAGCTTCAAATATTATCATATTTAATTAAGCTTTATAGACTATTAAAAATGTTTAAAGTCTACAAAAATTGAAAGTCTTATTTAATATTTTAACTCTAAAAATTTATTCTAATATTTTACATAAATATGATTGAACGGGTTTGAGTTCACATAAATATGATTATATTTTTCTTACAGATTGCCTATATTTAAAATCTTTTATGGGTTAAAAAAAATATAAATTTTTTTATAGAAAAATTGTCTCGCGGTGTGCAAACCACACATATCTATGAATATACTTATAATACAAATTCATAAAATTATATAAAATTAAAATGAAATAAACAC